ATCAGCTTCCGATTCCCACGTCTGGTCCACCCAGTTCTCACCCACCTGACCCGCCCCTCTCTCATCCACCTAGCCCCACTCGCTCCCCTGCCCCAAATGACAATGGCCCGTCTCCTGATTACCTGACGAAGCCCCCGGTTGAAGATCATCTCTCTCTGGAGCACATACCGGAGCCAATTGGTCAAGACCACAACGAATCTCCGCCACCTGTGCAACCTGTAGAATTGAACGAGGATCCCCCTGCCGTAAACGGATTCCCCATGCAACCTGCGGAATCAGACAATGTCATAGCGCTACAGCGAGGGCGCTGTGTGTACTATGCCATTAATGTACGTCTCCTTGCTTACAATTGTAATCCTTATATTGTTGCTGATTTCGCAGACGTTGTTCGCTGGATAGAAGAAGAGCACCGTGCCGTCTGCCCAGAGGACGACAGCGCTGCGCCTGGGGTGAACATAGAAGTCCTGGCTATGGCATTTATGGGTAGGCGACTGCAATTCCAGCCTGCTCCGCAAAACCACGAGCCAGGCACGGATCGAATATTCGGGCATATATCTTATATCGTCCAGGCACTTCAGTGCTCTTACCTTTGCAGATAATTCATGGACCCTATGGGACAATGGTGGTAGGGTGCACACAGTGGGAAATATTAACTCTTTCTATCACCAAATGCTGGAGGGTCACTCAGTCTGGCTCATCCATCAGGAACAGTATGTCAATGAGCATTTGCAAGCACTGCACCCCCCGGAGAGCAATCCGGCTGAATCTACCACAAACAGTGAAAGGACCTCTCCACAGGATGATGGTTGTGCCCTTCCGTTGTGTCGCCGCACAGGTGCAATTCGGTTGGCATGTACACGACATAGCCTCTGCTCCGAACACTATGAAGGGATGGTTGTTGCTAGCCTCTCACACAAAAATTGTGATCCCCAGTCCTGTGCTCATCCCCCACCCCCCCTGATTACTTGCCCAGCATGCCGTTGTGGCCTTGATCTGCCATGCTTAAATAATTGTGCATGTCAGCCTTCCATACTAATGACATGTCAGCAACATGCCATGTGTCGTCAATGCTTCCAGGAAGCTGTCAGAGAAAGTATGTGTCTTTACTGCGTGGACTATCCCCGGTGCCATCACCCTCCACATCCTCTCCTAGCATGTCCCACATGCGGTATTGGTCATACACCTACTGCAACCGCTGACAGATCTCCCTCTTTCTTGCCAGAAGAACGACGAACACAGCAGTCCGAGGAGGAAAATAGACTTCTATATGAACCACCGGCAGAGCGATGTGCTCATAGTTTCCCACCACCAGGGCGAGCTGTTGTGGATCATATCCTGCAGCAGCTGAATGCCCTTGCGTTGGACCGATCCTCCCTGTCGTCGTCTGCCCATAGAGAAGGAATACATACTGAGGAAGCCCAAGAAAGATGCTCCAGCCATTTGTGATGACCCGCCGGAGATTCAACTAGCATGTGGTTCACATGCCTTGTGCCGTGAGGATTATGAAGGTATAGTCCATGCGAGTTTTTGCTTCCATACGTACGATGACAGTCAGTACTGTACTCATGTACGGCACCCCGGCATGTCATGTCCAATTTGTAGACAGGAGCTGGAACGGCAATGCCTCTATAATTGCGGTCGACGTGCCTCTGTGTTCCTAGCATGTACGAGCCACGTAGCCTGTGACATCTGTCTGCGCCGTGCCGTTCGATGCAGCAACTGTGACTGTGAAAATTGGATGCAGTGCTTCCATAGCCCACACCCGAACCAGTCCTGTCCGCTTTGTAGGGGTGGCCACTCGCCATAGTTAGTGGTTTTTTGTTTTTTTTTTTTTGTTTTTTTGCTAGAGTAGTCTGCTTCAGCGGTGAATATTTAGAAATCTTTGAAACCCGTCATACACCTTTCCCCTGCTTTTTGCATGTCATACTCTATCCTGCCCTCCACATATTTCTTTCCTTCCCGTTGCCCCTACCTCCCCTGCCCCATACTCCTAGAGAACTCCACATTCTATCCCTTACCCTCCACCCTCCCCTCCACTCCCTTTGTACTACTAACAAATACATACGAATGACCATCATTAAGAGAATAGACGATATGAAGATCAGAAATGAAATGAAGATCAGAAATGAAATGAACGGAAGTATTCGATGAAGGACGGACACAAAGACTGTATAAGCTGAAGATCTGAAGGAGTATGAAGCTCTGAAGCAATTCACAGGAGCATACCTTCCCTTTTACTCTGCCTCCTGAAATAACGTGGAAGTGGGCCGTGAAGGCACACGGGGATGTGGGCAGCTGCCGCTCAACCACAATCAACGTGGGCAGCCTTGTGCGTAAGAGGCACAGTAAAAGGGGAGCTGCAAGAACAATAACAGGGGTACCCCAAGGACAACCCAAAAAACTGTCTAATTATAAAATTGCTTTAATATGTTGGACATCTCAATTTTTTCTCACATGCTGGTTCCTTGCAAGGGGAAAAAAAAAAAAAAAAAGGACAACTAGAAAGGAAACAGAAGAATGGGAGATATGTCCTTCGGGACTGTTAAAGTTGGAACAATACAGAGAGGATTAGCATGGCCCCTGTGGAAGGATGACACGCATACATCCAGAAGAATGGAAAATAGTAAAATACTAATGAGCCTAGCTCAGTCGGTACATCCACGAACTGCTGAAATACAGACCCAAGTTTGAATCTGGTTGCAATCAGATAAACAGAACAAAATAATTCTGAATTACCTACCTAGGGCCGGTCAGTTCAATGATGATATCTCTAACCACCGTTGTACCTTTCCCATACGTCAACCGTGGGCGGTGTCGAGGCCCGAAACGGAAAGCGGGCCGCGGAGTCGATTTATCAACGGCGGGCCTTGGCTACCGGGAATTACCCGGTGTGTCTTAGATTTCAAGCGGGGAAAGGTACCGGTTGTTTAACAAAAAACAATGGGAAATGGAGGTGATCTCATACTTGTCTGCAGACATGGAATTGTGGCATTTTGGCAGGTGGAGGCCATTATTTATGCGATCGAGATGCGGATTGTGCGACTTGCAATTTCGATAGAGAGCGAGGAGGACTGGGATGACAGGAGGGAGAGGGACTCTCTGAAAAAGCTGGAAATGCTCAAAGCAAGCAAGGCACATACTACTGTAATAGTGGCGGATGCTGCACGTCAGGTACTGTTTTTTTTTGTTTTTTTTTTTTTTTTTTTTCAATACATCACTCCAGTCAGCTCAGTTAATTCGGATAAACTCAGGGCATATACTCACACTAGGACTTTTCAACTAGAGCAGGGATATAAGTTGCTCCGGCGAGTCTGAGTTTCGCCTAGCCTTGGGCAAGCTAGGGGAAGGACGGTAGGATGTGTCCGTGGGCGCCAGCTTGCCTCATCCTGGGGTCTGTAACTGCTGATTAGGCAGACCCTCTCATTACACTTAGGGGCCAGAGGAAGATTGCTTGAGCCGGGTGTCCAAAGTTCCTGTACGACAAGGTTTGTTCGACTCTGCTTCTACCAGGGTTGGCTCATGGCTAGCCCTGGTGTCTGTCGCTGCTGTCCGGTCCACGTTTCCCCTCGATGCTGGCAGGGTAATTATGGTCCTGAGTGCTGGTCACACTGAGGTAGGATAGTAGGGACAGGGGGTGTGATAGGGGGTCCTGACTGCTGGTCACACTGAGGTAGGGCCCGCCTTCCCTTAGGGCCTGGGCACGTGCCTGCTGCAGGGCCCTATGCCAAGGCATAAGCCCTCGCACACCCCCTCTTGATTTTACCGGACCGGAAAGCTAGCTTGTATACATTCGACATTTTCAGGCCGAGTGCCTGAAGTGCAATTTCAAACTGTTTTTGTGACCGCCGCGCAGTTTCCCCTAAGATAAGGGGTAACTATGCGGCGGTCACAAAAACAGTTTGAAATTGCACTTCAGGCATTCCCCCGAAGATAGCACATTTAATAATTTCTTAATTACCTGAAAGCTGGTCACTACGACGATGATATCTCGAAGGCATGGAAGAATGGAACACGGAAATGAGAAGAAAAGAGAAAGACTGCTCGCCACAGACAGTCGTAGCATGAGCATGGAAACCGAACTGTGTAACTGGTTGAACGCGCCGAACGCGCGTTCATACCCCCCGGGGCCGCGTTCAATCGCGTTCAAACGCGCTGCGCGCCACGTGGCACGAAAAAATTGAACGCGCCGAACGCGCGTTCATACCCCCCAGGGGGCGTGCGCGCACCTCGCGGGCTATGGGGTGGTGGGCCTCATTCAACGAACCCCAAAAGTGCAAAAAAAAGCCCCCCCGGAAGCCCACCCCCCCTACCGCGTCACCCCTCGCCATATGAAAGGTCCTTTTTTTTTAGGGGGGCCGGTGGGGGAATTCCCCTAACACAGCCTAGACGGCCCATGCATGCTATGTGGAGGGTCCTCGCAGCACTAAAGTGCAGACCCTCCCTCAAATCGAGGCACGCAGTCAGTATGGTGGAGAGCACAAGCTGGCCGAATATATCCTCAGGATTCAAGTTCAGGTCTGTGTTTCAGCAGTTATGGGTTGCCCACGTCCGTGTTGATCTCTGCACAGTATGGTGTAGAGCACGACCTTGGCTGCTGCACGGGATTCTCAGGGCTTGGCGTGATTCTCAGAAAAAGAAAAAAAACTAAAAACAAACAAACAAACAAACAAAAAAAAAACTTACCTACAACTTCTGCATACCCCCGAGTTCTGGGGGTAGGTTCATTCAGGTTGCCCATCCTCAGATGGGCTGTCGGGGTTGTAACCCCCTGATGAGTTGGTGAAAGCCC